CATTTCATGAAGATGTTCAAATACTGTCTTTCAGACCTGAAGAACAGTCCCTTCTTTTGTGCATGAGAAGATCAAGTTCAAGGCTCATCCTCTGTCAGGCAAAAATTCTACTTACTATGCACACCATCAGAAGTTTTGGGGTTTTTTTCTCCTCACCTCTCCCTATCTTGTGACTACCACAACACAGCAATCTTTTAGTCTGCAACTTGCTTCTCTAGATTACCTGTACAGGTTTTTAAGCAGAAAATTTCTCCTGAAAAGAACCCAAATTTTTCCAAATTCTTGCATTTCAGACTGTAGATGAGCATAAGCTTTTGCATACCTGTTTCCAGATAAGTTACAACAGAATGACACTACAAAAAAATAATCCTATAACAGAGTAATCTTTAAAGAAATTATCAGTCTTGGTTAGATTAGGGAAGAGATTTTGCCTCCTCTGATTTTCCTTTTAACACACTGAACTTTTGCAATTTAGTTCCATTGGTGAAGACCAAGCCAGGTAGTATTTTTCTTACAATTTGGCTTTTTATATTTTGACAAGCAATGAATAGTTGCCACTTACTAGTTCTTGAGCAATAAGCTCTAGGTACAGACCCATTATATATTTGTGGGTGACTGCTATAGATACAGTTGCCACACAACAAACAAATTGGGACTTTACACCCACAGTATAATAAATGAGTTGTATCTGCAATAACTGGCAGGTGCTGAAGAGGATAGCTGGGAAGATAGGAGAAGTAGTATTCAATGAGTGAGCAGGAAATAGCTGCCTGATTCCCTGAGCAAGGGAAGGCTACAAAGACAGCCTATGTTACTACAGGAGAGAGTTTATTGAAATGATAAGCACTAAAAAAAAAAAAATCAATGAGACAAAGCCTCATAAACCTGTATGTTGGGCAACGCAAAATAAGATTGGCAACACATCATGAAAGTTACTATTTTAACACTATATTGGTGGTATAGTATCTACATGAAATTATTTTTAGTGCATTATTGAAACCCAAAATTTTATTGTGCTGATGGGGTATACTGAAATTTGAATAGTATGAAATGTTAACTTTTTAAAATGTGCAGTTTCTTGTTTCCTATCTTTTCTTCCTAGGGGGATTTCCAGAAGTTGCCTAGGAAAGAAAGATATGCAAATTCCATATTGCAGAACAACCTGAACTACATAAACCCAGGTTATGTTCCTAAATGCTCATAGCCAAGTCTAAGGAACTACAAGCTTAGACATTTAGGGAAATAAATTAGAAAGAATGTTGACCTAAATCAACTTCTCCCTTATTCATAAGGATTGTATTGTGAATGCAGTATATTATTCTACTTCCTCAACTCACTCATATTAAGTTATTCTGTATTAAAATAATTCAGAGAGCTTCAACCAGACTTGAAAGATCCAGACACTTCGTACAAAGAACTCCGAATCAGTTGGAATATCCAGATTTCCATTTCATTCTCTTGTTTCCCTCTGCTCCAATCTCATTTGATAGAAAAAAGCACTTTCTGGCATTTTTACTTGATTTTTTGCACCACTACTTCTCTGCCCTCTATGCATTTTACCCTCTATTTCAAAAATTTTCTTCCCTATTTCTTTCCCATTTCTGTTGCTACCCTGCTGTGGGGTTGGTGACCATTTTACTGTCTCATTACAGGAAGACCATGTTCTACACTTCCTTATGAGAAGGAAGGATTGACTGCGTTTTTGATACACATCTTTACATCACACTTGGCTGTAAATATGCTCTAGGTCACCCAGCAGGTTTGGGTTTGAACTGTAAAATGACTCAGTGCAATATTCCAGTAAAGATTCTCCATAAATTCTAAAGAATATCGTGTTTTAGCCATCTGACCCTTGTAAGTCCTTTCGTAATTAAGTGTAAGAAGTTTAATGCAACATGACTGAATTTAGAAAAATATATTATTTTTCATCTGCCATTACTAAAGGTGAAGTTGCTACTGGAAAGACCTGAAACCTTGGTTCCTGCCTCATTCCCCTGTTCATTATTCAGAAAACTGACTGCAATATGAACAGCATCTGCAAAAGTAACAGCTTGAATATGCTAACTATTGGAGAAAAGGGAAAGGGGGAACCTTCTGGTGTTCTAACACCAAAAGGCACCTAGTCACTGATGGGTGAAACACAAAGCTAATGGAGGAGACATGTACATTTAAGATGTCAAAGATAATTAACTGGCAGATATTATTTCCCTTCATTTCTGCTGTAGATGATATAGTGAGGTAAAAAAACAGCACTGTGGGTTTCTGGCTACTATGAAGTCTTGCCATCCACGAGCCAATTGTCCTGACTGTGGTTAAACTGGTAAGCCATGGGGGGGATTGTTTTTAAACAGATTACTTTCAAGCATTTGTTTAATTTACTTTGGATGTTTCAATTTGTTATTACTTAAATGAAAACATTTACATTTCCTGGTTGTCCAAAGACCTGAACACTGGAAATCCATCCCAAAGCACTTCAATTTATGCTCAAATATTAAAACATTCCAAAATGCTTTAGAAGCTGGTTGTTGTTGGTTTATCTAATTCATTGTGAAGACCCAGGATAATGTCTTCAGTATTAAAAAATATAGTGATCTCCTACTGCCATCTGTGGGAATGTTACTATTGATTTTAGTTAATACAGGCTACAGGAAAAACCCTTATAATACAATTTTAAACAAGGCCAAGTAAAAAGTTACAGAAATATTCCAGAAAACATGCACACGTGAAATTATGGACATTGCTCCTCTCTGCTTCTTTGCCAGTCACCTTTAGGCAGTTGCTTTTATAAAAGAAGCTAGTGTGTCAGCTCGCTCGATGCTCAGGAGAATACATTCCAGAAGAGCAGTTCACAGGCACATCACAAAACTTAACTGATGACTACTGACCTCTTTTTTAGCAAAGATAACAGAAGTATTATGCATGATAAAGCTGTTAGTGCTCAGTAACATGTCTTTTGGCAAGTCTAAAGGAACTCACAGAAGAGACAGTTCCACAGTGGGCTGCGCCTACAGTAAGTCCACTAGGGTTAACAGGGTCCATAAATGAGCAAGTCACAGCAAAGTATGATCTCGTCTTTACACAGCCGACACTGCACAGCATGCATCTTGATATTGTCAAAATACTAGAAGGTGCAGGAAATTAATTTTCTTTTTTAAGCAAAGGTACTTTTAGAGACATGTAGGATGTATCATATTTCTTTGCCAAATAGTTCAGTATTGTAGCCCAGCTTCAGAACTATTAAGACTTTTTCCAGAAAATGCAAATGATCTCTCACAGACTCCTAACCACTTAATCCTGCCTTTTCCAGTGTTCATTGACTTACCTTATCTCTAAACTAAGTATTCTATCAGAGTACACTGGAAGAAATCCAGAGTTGCTGCTTTCCTTCGGAAAAGATTTTTCTGCAGTAACAGTTTAAGCAGAAGGTGAACAGAAGGCAGTATTAGAGGCCTGACCCTGAGGAAGGCCATGTTTTCTCAATACAGTATACCTAGAAAAAGGTTTGTAATTGCAGGGAAGAATTCATAGTTAAATAAAAATATATTTTCAATCACAGTTCTATATTGTCCCCAATAACAGGGAAAAAGAGTTATTTTCCAAATTCAGCTTGAGACTACCCATGATAGCATTTTCAAGCACACAGACAATATCCTACAGTCATAAGAAGTTCAATAAATAGATTATTTCCATGCATTTGACCAACTGCTTGATTGCGAAAGTTGTAGTTACGCATTTGTTGATATTTTTGTAAGACTCTGCATGGTTATTACTTTTAACTTTCTCATACTTTTGTTCTGTAGTTTGAAACCAGCAACTCTGCTTTCTGTAAACAACCTGCAGAGCAAATACAGAAAGCGACTACCTTAGAACTGTTTGCTTTGTACTGTTTGCTGTTCTGCCACTCCCAGCTTTCAACACAGAATGTTAACACTCACACAGCAGTGTTTTCAGAACAGATCATAAAAATGTATGCAGGCACATAGAAACCAGTGGCCACTATTCAAGATGAGTCTTTCACCTCAATTTTGCTTCAGCAGAATCATTAAAAAACACATTTACTAACACCATCCTTTTTAATCAGCTGAACTAACATACTACTGTGAGCTGCAGGAGCAGATGCGTGTCACACCATTGAAAGTGACCTACATCATCAAAACTTCAGAGACAAGACACTTCATCAAGTTCTTTTTGTCAAAAAGCAAATGAAGGCTTTAAACAAATGTTTCCTCTTTACAGTATAGTTCCTACTTCATTGCTTTGTAGTGATGTTAGAATCTTTTGTCAGAAATATTACAAACACTTCTGACAACTTCACTTTTATAGATTAAGCACTATCATTTCAATATTAGCCACAGGAGTACAAAACTAAGTGCTGATGACAATCTTTCAAAAATTCAGAAATTACTCTCAGGAAAGTACAGAACTTGGATTAATTTTACATTAAGGTACTGCATCTTTGACTGTACAGTTTCTCTTTCAAAAGCCCAACTAGAAAATAACTATAATGCATCTGAGAACTTTTAGTTATATACTTGAACAAAAATAGTGAAGCAAAACTAAACTCTTCACAATGGAACTCATCCAGAAAACTGTTTTAGTTTAGAACTGCTATCATACACTAAGACTCCTCCTACCAATATTCTGTTGCAGAAATATTTCAACATTCATCTCTGCACTAAAAAAAAAAAAAATCAAACTACACATTTTTCTATATTTATTATAGAATTATGTGAACTTAAAAATACATGCTTTTGAATGCATAGACAGAAATATATTCACAAAAGTAAAAAAAACACAGGTGGTTATGTCAAAACATTGTAAATGTCCTGAGAAATAATATACCTTAAAGGAATCTAATCCCCTCTATCAATGCATTTTTTAAGAGTAAAACAGACTTTCCAGTCCTTCTTTACTTCACATTATTTTTGTTTTCCTGCTGGCAGGTCATAGAACTAGAGTTTATATTTTGGAGTAATTCTAAAAAATGAGATTTCACTTACCTAATTCTTTAGAAACTGGAGAATCAGCCGATATATCCCCAATCTTTGCAAGGCTATCATAATATGCTCTTCCAGCCACTACCATAGCTTGGCAGGGGGAGAGGGAGGAAGGGGGGGGAAGAAAAAAAGTGTTAAAAAATTGAAGTATTTTCCATTTCCATTAATCTATGATCCTATGAAATTTTGTAATTCAGATCACATAGTTAGGAGAGAGGTATATGGCAATAAGGAAATTCTGCTATCAGAGCAAGTTACACAAGTCCCTGTGCTTCCTGCTTTTTTTTTGCTGATTTGTGAAAACAGGTGACAAAGACAGAACACCAAAATACATTAATGAAGTTTCAGCCTGTTATTTCATTCCAACTTTCATGCATGTCCAGGAGCAATCAGCATCCAGTGGGTATGTTTAGCCATAAGCCGTTGGTCAGGATGTAACAGAATTCCTTGGTATAGATAAAACTGTTGGAAAAAACCAAAATGCAATCCCAAACTTACTGGAAATGCCAAGGTCTGTACTGTATTGGCCAGCCAGACCACTGATCTGAGAAATGGCTATTGGCCATGAGGCAATGGGCCTACAGTGGCAACAAGGAGGCATGGCACCCTTCAAAAGCAAAATCATCTACTATTTAAGTTAGCTGAAAGAGTAACTCGCTTCAAAAAGAGCTATGATGAAGTTTGCCAGATGTGATATATTTAGAAGAAAAGTGAAATGTGAGAGGTTCAATACATCTGATACAGCCATTCCTAAAAGTTACCATTATGGATAAGACTGTACAGTCATCATATACTGCAATGACAAATATGATTTCTTATCAAAACACCACACTGAAGTCTGAGGATCCTACATATAAACACCAGCTTTTCCACTTCAAGGAAATTCCAGGCCTTAAATGCTAAAACTTCAGAAATCAAGTCTCTGAAAGATGATGTTCAGGTTACGGAGATAATCCATTTGGCATTCTTTTCTCAGTTTTCAACACACAATCAACGTTCCTGAGATTATTATAAATTACATTGTTCAGCAACCTAGTGAGCTTAAATGTTGGAAGATCTCTGGTTTCTTGGACAGACATGGAAACTTCACATTGATATTTACAATTTCTGCACAGAGTTATTTTGACAGTCCAGCAAAGTGCCTACTTTTATCTTTGTCACTGAGCTCAGGATGGCACAGAAATCTGCACTCCAAGTAATTTAAGCATTAAAAACCTCAGGCAGCAGGTGCATATACAGTTTAGATGAATTTATTATTATTTATTTATTATTTATTTAGATGCTCATCTTTCTTTCCCCCCAGGACAGTTCCCCCCCTTTTATTGTTTATAGTTCAATTCCAGTTTTACAGGAACCAAGAAGCTCTTAATATATATCACTGAGTTTTCAGTTATTCTCAGTTAATCATTTCCTGGTTATAGCTGATTTAAACAGCAAAGCCAGTTTTGCTAGAATGAACACGGAAACATCAAGATTCAAACTGCAGGGAGGCCAGCAGTGAGAAACAGGTTACAGATGTAGTGGATCTATAGCACACAATGGTTGCGTTGCATCTTCACAGTGTCTACAACTGATATGCACACCACAAAGAAAAGAAATAACCGGGACAAACTGGCAAGGTTTTATTGTAAAAGGCAGTGAAAAATACTTACTGAAGGAAGCCTTCAGAATTTTTTTTTGTAGTAATACATTTTTAACCTAAAGTGGAAGCCAAGCAGACTCTCACTGTTGATGTTAGGATAGTTTTTCCTGAGAGGAATATAATTGGCAATTGCCAATTATAGTATTTTAGGTCTGTATTTTATAGTTTTTACTAACAAAGGTGACGCCTTTGGTTACTTAACAGTATGTTCATTGAGAAGCCTGAAACTCTTCCAGATGAAACAAAGATTCTTGTCTAATGCAACACAGCCTCAAAAAAAGTAATTTCTGTCTAAGATGCATCTCATAGGTGCTCTATGTTCAGATTTTCTGAGCAGGAGAATTATGGTGCTACTGCTGGAGCACTATGCCACCTGTATGCAAAGATTTTATGCCATTCCAACTCTTCCTATCTAATATTTTCTCAGGACAGTCCCAAGTCAATCTTTTACCCTTAATACAGGCACTAAAAAAGGAAGAAAACGTGTGATTTCTCATGTGCTAATCAAGCTAAATCAAGAACTCCACTTACATAGTCTTTTCACCAGTACGATGGCTAGTAAACTACTTCCACAGAAAAGGAGTTTTGACCTTTTGTCCTCAAAATGTATACAGATACCTTATAAACCTACCAGAAGTTCTTCTAAGCTTAATGTTCATTGTCAGCTTACTCTGGCTTCTTTGGAAAGCTGGGAAGTGTTTGGCAACAGAGTATTCACTCCTTGTTACATTGATGAGAGCCCAAACTTTACTTTAATGTAGTTTCTCAACAGTTGCTGCAGCACTGTAAATGTTTATTCATTTGAAATTAAGCATTGGTGCTAGATATGCTTTATCAGCCAGCCATAAGAGGCAAACTTGCTAGAACACAGCACCTATCAGCCTCTCCAGTGTTGCTGCGCACAGTTATATTGTGAATTCCTGATGATAAGTTGAATTAAAAGAGAAAAGGCATAATGTAACATATCAACAGTGAAGTACATGAAAAGCAGATCCATCAGAAACTGGTATTAAAGTCTTTCAGCCAGACATGAAAACACTTGTTATTACTGCTGTTACTACCTATAATCCCTGAGGTTAGGTATTAGGTAACTACAATGTTAATCCCTCCGGTCAGGCATTACTGCAAGTAAGTCAACATTTTCCTACTTTCATCTCCAGCAGGCTTTGGTTTTATGTTTTTCTCAAACCTAGTCTAAAATTTGCATGAAGAGAGATTTCAGTGTCTGGCTATGCACTACTTCTACAGTATCACATTTCTCAGGGTACTAGATTACACGTAGGAGAAAAATATGCCACAAACTTGAATGAGGCAAAATTAGAGAGATTTTTAAATTGCTTTAATGTGGTGTCAAGCAGCACAATAGGTCTACATAGGTGAAAGCAAGCTCTAACAGAACCTTCAATATAAGCTTTGGGAGTCTAGAGCACAGTCTTGGAAACCCATTCTTGGATAGATAGTTTCTGTGAAGTCAATAATGGAAGTAAACCACCACATAAGAAGTTTGAGAGACTGGGTCTTTAGATTCAAATGTATTCTTTCTGATTTTGACTCAATTAGAAAGATACCATCAGGTTTAGTATGGATAAGAAAATTTATCTACTCCTGCAACTTTCACTCATTCAAGTTACTCTGTTCACAGGGTTTCTTAGGTAGCGATGCGTACAGGTAAGCAGGAGCAGATCTAAGAATGTGAAATATCTTTGGAAGACATTTCCGGGGGGGGAAAAAAGAGAACGTCTAATTTACATAACTGTTTTCTCCATTTATATTATTATTCTAATGCAAGTTATTTACACTTAATGTTCAGTTTATTAGCTCTGTGCCTAAATGTTTCAGACACAATTTCTGCAGGACAGTAAAAGAAAGGGAGAAGGTACATATGTTTGGGTGTTCACGGTTTTTGTCACCACCGCCGCCGCCCTCCCCCCCTTAAACACATCCAAAGTTCAACCTGGAAATTAAGCTTATACACACTCATATCTAACATGTATATTTAAATGAAAAACAAACATTATTTTTCAATTTAGCATCTAGAAGACTTACCATTAACAGCTTTTTCATAATTCTTCCCCAGGTTTATTAAATTCCTCAGTCCTGGATTGAACTGTTCCATAACATTCTAGTGAACAGAAAACAAAATTTGTGTTACAACCAAGGCAATGCAACAGTGGATGAAAGTATTTCTGTCACTTAGGTCACTTCTGCGTTCAATATGTACAGCATACATCTGAAAAGTCTGTGAATGAATGAAAAATAGAAGACTTGGGAGGAAGAGGAGAGCAAAGAATGGAAGGGAAAAGAAACTGAGCATTTAAGATCAAGAAAGAGGGAAAAAGGGTAAACTATTTCAATAAGGGTAAAAATGAACCTGGCTGTTTATAATATAAAAGGATGTCAAGTGTGTGATCAAAGCTTGCCAAGATCCTTCTTATGGTAGGTGATGGTGAAATAAGAGTGAGAGAAGAACCTTTAATCCACTCATTGTTTTATAGAGTCAGACAATAACATGAACTTTCTGACAAGAGTTCAAGATTTGAGTTCTTCCCCACCACCCCCACCCTGTGCTGAAATAAAAAAAGCTGGGAAAAGGAAAAAAAGAGACATTCACCAGATATCTGCTTAGGCGATGACTAGGCACTTCATTAAATTTAAGTTACAGATAGCAATTAGGGAAATTAGTTGGGCTTTGTTTAAGTTTGAAAATGCCACATTTTATTCTGCGAAGCCATAGCTCTTTCAGAAAGAAAATGAAAATGATGACCTTATTTAAATAGAAGTGGAAAAAATATCCACTGCAGCTGCTTTGGCTGTTAAATACAATTACTGGCTGAAATGACCAGAATCTGAAATCCAGCATCTCCAAGCATGACTACTCTCATACCTAGCAAATTCTATAAACTGATTCAGTGGTAGAAATTGTGACTGGCAGTATCATAGTGCAAGAAAATATAGAAAAGTTTCAAGGCTTTGCAAAAAGTAGAAAATAAGTTAAGCCACAAAGTATGAATGAAAATTTCCATTTTCTTAAAGTTGGGGAGTGAAAAAGGTTTTGCCCACTCCAAAAAGGAAAATCACCCACAAAGTCCAAGTTGTCCATAGTCATAGGAAAGCTTCAGTTTCCCTCTTTCTGGCCAAAGACAATAACTCTCCTCCTCCCTGCAGATCAGTATTCCAAAATTAATTTTATCTTATGAGCACTGGGGGGGGAAGCTGACATGCCGCTATAAATGCAGCAGTTATTCACTCCTCAGAATCATGACTAAAATGTCTCAAACACACGTAGCATAAATATCAGTACTCCAAAATATTGGATGTTGCAATTAACTTTTAAACAATGCTACCTAAGGTTGAAAGAGAGCCCTCTGAGCTTCACTTATTTAGTGGCTTCTTCAAGTAGAATTGCTATCTGAATTAAAGACATGGTATATTTGTTTAACAAAAAAACCTTTGTATGTATGTAAATAGCTACCTCTGAACAAGTATTCTAGAATTTGATATATGTGCCTGATCATTTAATAGTCAAGTAACCATAATGTTCCAATACTTGCTTTTCTCTCTTCCATACAAAATACTATTTCATTTAACACCAGCTGCTAAGTCTCAGGAACAAATTGGTAATTAAAAGAGAGCCCTCTAAAATAAATTTAATACAATAAATTTAATACAAGCCCTATATTTTCATACTGAAGAACCTTAAAAGTTTTTGCAGATTCTAGACCTTCTTTTCCAGAATCTTAACAAAACTATAGCTGTGACATTACTCTCAAAATTTTATCATCACAAAAGGAAGATTGAGAGATACGTGAAGATATCATTCTGTTATTCTTACTATTTTTATGACACAACTCACATCTTTCTAGATACTGTTCACTCAGCAGAACTCTCAAGTTCAAGGAATGCAAAACAGACACTTTCTGTTTACAAGAAATACAAGACAAGTGAAATAGTATCAAGCTTTTGTCTGTTATATTACTAACAGAATGAAAATATTTATATTTGGTACATGCATGGACCCAGAAAGAACAGGAATACCATCACATCTGTCTTATTTTCAGGCAAGGTCATTCAGACAGAACTTTATTATTATTATTATTTTTTCAAATATAGTACTATACCTGAACTCCAGTCAGTTTAAAAAGTGAAAAGAATTAACTCCATATTTCAGCAATAATACTTTAACAGTCATATTGAGTAAAAGGTATTTAAAAAAAACAAAAAAACTATTAGGTTCTCATCCTGGTATAGTATTTCAATATCAAAAGGGGGCAGAGAACAATACCAAGCCCCACTGCCTGCCTTTGCACAAATAAAATGCAGAGGGATTGTTTTCTGGTCTATACCATTAAACTCTTACCCACCCAAACACAATCACTGCAAGCAAACTCCCTATTGTCCCCAGGCCCTTGATTTGTGTTAACTCACAAACCACATCCAGAAATCCTCGGGGAAAGTGTGTTTCAGGTTGGCCCAGCAATGCCAAGGGCTAGTCTAACAACTTAACAGTATGGATTTTCAAGCTCTAGTCTCTGGGAAGATCCCTCCTCCCACCCAACTCTTTAATTTAGTATTGTAAATGTTGCTGCTGTGCTTCTGTTGCCTCCCCACAGCTGAGGCAGTGCGACTGTGAGGCTTTCGTTCCAAGGGGTAAGTTGCCTCTTCTTAGTCCAACATTTTGCCATTTCTTCCCAGCAGCGTACTAAAGATACTGCCTGTTGACGTATAAGGAGTCAGTGAATCCTAAGAAAAAAAATGAGTAAATTACAGGATTTTGTTAAGATAGAGAGTCCTGTATTCCAAGGATATGAGGGAGAAGAAAGGTGTACATGACTTAGAAACAGTGTGTATGCATGGCAGGTAAGAATCCCAATATGACCTTGAATTGCCAACCTACGCTGAAAGTAATTTTATTGAAAGACAAGTCGTGTCCCTACTTACCCTGCTCCTCACAACAAAAACTTAGAGTAAAACCCTTACTGACACGTACCCAAAAATTCTAATGATAACATAATTATTGCTCTCGAAATACTGATTTTTTAAATTATTGTCTTAAGGATTCAGGGGTTAAGATTCCAGTTCTCTTGACATCTTCTAATTCAGATTTCAAACAGAAAGCAGTGACTGCGTCTGTGTCATTAGTTGTTTTCATTTAGGAGGAAGTGAACAAAATCCAGCAAAAATGCCCTCAACAGCTCTGAAGCCTCCCCTCTCTGAAGCCAGACCCCATAGCTCTGTATTTTTACTAGCCAACTTGATATGTATCAGGTATTCATGTAGAGCAGATATAGAGCACACTGTGGAAACACAACAGGTCCACTGAAACACAGAAGTCTGAGGAAGAGCTCCAGTATATCACATCTGCTCAACGTATCCGTAAAACTGCTGGGAAAGATGAAGAAACAATTTATAGCTCACTGCCTTCAGGAGCTGGAAAGCATACAACTAATGGATCTTTTCTCCGTTAGACCAAGAAGTCTCTGGAAGATTTTCAGTTTTCACGCTGCCACAGTGGTTGACTGTTAGCAGAAGCGTCTGCACGAGCCTCTAGACGTGAACGCCCCAGAAGCAGCAAAAACCTTCGCAATGGAAATTCCCCTTTGGAATTTGCTTGGTTTAACACAGGGTACAGTTAGCTGATCCTCACAGCACTGTGCAAGGCTCATCTATTTTCCTACTGAGGGTTTGTGTTCGATAGAAAGACTTAGCTTCCCCCCCACCAAGATGCTCTAATGAAATATTTTTTAGATTATTTTCCTCTTGTCAGCATTAGAAAGGAGCATATGTATTTTTTTCTAGACTCTCAAACAAAAACTCGGACATGCTTCTAGTGCTCTTTTTATGCAGTTCACTACTGTTGCTGTCTTTGATGTACAGTCCAGGAAGAAATATCTAGAGAAGTTTTTCAAAAAGGGAAACTGTCAGTGGCAACTCCCTCTTCAGGATCAGGTATAAATTTGATACTGTGGAGACATCTCAGATCAGTTAAAATGATTGTAATACCTTGTTCAGAAGTTGAAAAAGCCATTCAGAAATCAATTTGTATAGCTATTGATTTTAGAATGTCTTAAAGTTTTATAGCTTCCCTTATTTGTAGTCTAAAGAAAAGGGCATGAGTGGCACTGAACACCAGTGCAAAATTGCAAGGCATATGTTAAAGCCAGATCTGAAAACTTCTAAAAAAGTAGACACAGAGGAACAAAGGAGACTTTCTGATCAAGAGAACCACTAATTTAAAACTATCAAAAGTCTCAGAAAATATCACAATCTTCTTGTCTGCCATGCTGTACAAAGTCATAGGAATAAAGCTTTTGTCTTAATCCAAGCAGACATGACAAAGTAAGAAAAAAAACTGTGAGAGAAAGTAGTTCACAACACATCATTTGCCTGTATAGTGAGGAACACAAACTAGGCCTCCTAGTTGTCAATCTAGTGTCCTATATTCTAGTGACACACTACCTCTCATGAACAGAACAATTAACTAGAAGAGAAAAGGAGGCACATGATCAGATCCTACAGCTTTCTATTATTTAGGATGAATGGAAACAAAGGGAAACACTTTCGAAACAGGCAACAGGAAACAACTTTTTATGCAGACAGTTTGAGAGTTGGCAATAGTGACCTTCCAAGAAAAAGCCTAGGAGACCTATTCTCATCATTCAAGTTGTTAAATCCTCCTATAATCCAGTAGGAAAGTTGCTGTGTGCCTTTCACCACGTGAAACCAATGTGAGTTAACCAGCCTGGTAGCAAGGAGATGACTGAAGAGGAACAAGCCTTGTATTTCCACTGGTTGTGTATAGGTATTATATCTTCCGCAGTTCCTGATAGTCATATAAACAACGTTAATCTTCAAAACAAATGACAGCCATTGTAAAAGTGCCTTCCTGTAAATGCTCAGCTTTGCTTTTTACTTAAAGACACACCTCAAAGAACAATAGCTCAGCAGGTATGAATACAACTAAACAATGCATAGGCTCCCTGTAGTTTCCAGTTTACATCCTGCAGGCACTTTTGCAAGAGTGGGTAACAATGTATTTGGGTAGAAATCTGAAATCATAAAACTAGCACAGAAAAGTAGATCTTGATGTCTAACATTACTCATATTACCATCACTATAGC